GTTATAATTTTAATACCTGAAACAATATTAATACATAAGATATTAAATACTACGATATCTTACTTTGTTCTCAGTTAGCTGCAAAGCTATCAGTGCTTTAGTGGGGGTTTTGTCTTGATTTTTTGACTCCGTTGTGATCACTCCCTGAAATTTCAGAATAAACTTGTGGTAATGGTTAATTCACTTACTTTGCTGCTCCCTAACAAAAATAAATGTTAATCCTCCAGAAGCTTAGAGGGAATCTTAATATTCTATTTTACAGTAATCTCTTTAGAAGACAAAGAATTACAAATGACATTTTAAACTCACTAAGACTTCAGTGACAACTCCCAACAACAAAAAAAGAAACAAGATTCCTATTTATGTCTGTATTTGCCATTCGTAATACGCTGATTAAACAAAAAGCAGATAAACGATGGTATTTTCATGAGACAAGTACAGCTCACTACAGGTAAACTATGATTCATTCATCTAAATGTGTTTGAAACAAAATCCTAAGAAAAACTACTTTGCATTCACAGCAGCAGCTTTTTTCCCCAGTGTGAAATGGTTTGAGCGCACATACGTCCCGCTGCCCAGGCGTAACTGGATCAGTGCACAGCAGGGAGAGCAGAGTGTCTGCATGAAGACTGCTTCAGTGGGAAAGAGAGAACCTAAAGAATATTCATAAAGAGCAAATTAAAACATCATATGAGGCCTTGATTAAGCTCGACAGCTTTCCTAAAGACTTTCTGTTGTTGTTACTGGTGCTTAACATCAGTGGAGGATTTGTGAAAGAGCAGCCATCCCCCACCTCCTGCAGCCTTTAAGCGATGGTGGTGGGTGAGACCCTCTACATTGCATTCTGCTGATCTCTTTCATTGCTGAGTTGCGTATCTGTGCTACGCTAGTTTCTGTGCGATTAATTTTATCCCAAAACTTCACATTTACAAATGTTGTGGTAAATGTACTGCCCATAATAACGATATAATATAATATGAAAAGCCTGTTGCAGGTGATCTGTATGTGGTTTTCTCATACTTCTGAGGATCATTCAAAGCCTCTGCCTTCACTGTTTTTTCATCACATGTCTTCAGTGATATCTTGACCAGCAAGTAAAGAAATATTGTAAGCATGTGCTGGGTGCTGTCTCTTCAATCTGTGACAATGAGAAAAAAAACCTGATAGTCGATTAGGACTACTTGGGGATGTATTCCTTGTTATTTGGACAAAGTTGCAAAGCCCCTTTACTCTGCTCAGAGATATTTCTTTTCCTGCTTTTCTGTGATTATTTTCAAATGAGAACTGTGTCTGGCCTTGGTGCTTGTAATGTGTTTGGGGCCACTTAAGTTAGAAGTGAATTATTGTAGGCTCTTTTTATAATTGGTAGAGAGAGAGATGGGTACCTGTAAAGGGAATTGCAGACCTCTTTTTGTGAGGTCCATATAAAGAACATATGGCAACAACGTTCCTCAGCAAGTGCTTGATGTTAACAGTGACTTGTGATCCTACAAGAAAATGTGGATAACTTAACTGAAGATTTCAACACAGTTTGCAACTGAAAACTGACAGAAATGTTGGTTAATGTGGATGCCAGAAATTGTTTTCAAAAGAAAAAAAAAGTTTTGCTATTTCTCAGAAAAATCTTGGTCAAAGCAAGTTTCTGTTCATATTGCTAGAAATACATAAATTTTTAATTTTTTTTAGATTTTTAAAAGCTAAAGAAAGTAACAAAATGGCAATTCTTCTTCTTCCCCCCAAATAAGACAACTGGGTTAAAGTAAGCTGTTGAGATTGCTGAGATATTCATAGGTATTGTGAAGTTAATTTATTGGAAGTTAGCTTGAAGCTCTTATTCTAAAGAAGCACCAAGTGTGTTAGGGGTTTTTCTTCCTTTTTTAATTTTTTTTTTCCCCCCTATATCTTCCACAACCCCAGAGAGAAATGTGGCTAGTTGTGAAGAATGGTACCGGTTACACTTTTTTCTTCCTGATTGGCATTACACTTGTTGAAGTAGTAGTTGGTGGAGCCGTCTACAAAGATGGGGGAGATAGCACAGAAAAGAGAGAAAGTTTGAGAGAGTGGGGGGTATGGCAGGGAGTAGGTGGCCAAACTGCAGAGGCAGAGGGATTTGTTAGAGGCCGGAGAGCACAGGAACAGAGTTTGCTTCCACTCAGAAAGTCGCTATATGGGAGGGAAGCACGGAGTCACCACGGAGGCTCAGAGGGCAGGGGAAGAATTGTGTATAACTCATTTATTTTGGTTTTTTTTTTTTTTCTTTTTCTTTCAGCTTGCTTTCTTTAACACCTCACCCCCTCCACAAGTTTTAAGTTTCTGTGCAAATGAAATTTGGTTTGGTCAAGTATGGAAGCCCTTTAATCTTTGAGGGAGCTCACTAAGGAGAAAGCCTAAACAGATCCCTGCTCCAAAGCTGTGGCTTGCTTTAGGGCCCTTTCATAGTCATATAAAGAAGTATGCAGTAGAGTGAAAATTTAACCTTTTGGAGTACTTTTAGCATTGTACTCTAAACAGATTATTTTGTGTTTAAACTTAAAAATCAACTTAATGTAGATAAGGGGGAGGGTCAGATACATCACTAATAGCTCTGTGTCAACAACTACATGAATGTAGAGGTGCTGAGCAGTCGTTTGCTCAAAGGTTCACGTAAATGTGGTTTGTTGGTACTCACTGGCAATGCTTTTATAAAATTGCATACTATTTCACAGCAAAAGCAAAATAATGCAGTTTAATACATGAGCCTATCTGTGCACCTCATAATTTTTTTGGATCCAGTTCTATAAACAACATTCTTGTAATCTAATGAAAGAGCTTATTTTTGCCCAATTATCACACTCATGTACAGATTTTTTTTTTCATATTTACATTGCCAATGGCAGTAGTTAGTGCATTTATCATTTGCATTAATATAAACATATCAATGAATTGAATTGAAGATACTTAGATGTCAAGCACAATTTTTAGGTACAATGTGATTTTGTGGATAATTGACGATTGGAAATTTGGTAGAATCCTAAATGGGCAAACTCTTCATCCGGAGTACAGTAAAGACCTGATCTTTAAAAAGAGGGATTTCTTCATTGAACACACATAGTATACGCAAGGTGCAGTGATCTGATAAGACAGAGATTTGTAGTTCTCAAGATGAACGATTTATTTCAATCACGATTATTTTAGCATCTCTGCTTTGGTTGGAGATTTTCTGCAGTCTTTAAAGTTGGCAAGTATTCAAAGTAGTGTTCTGGGGAAATGATAACTCTTAACTCAGTGTAAATACACTTAAATACAACAATGATTATGTCATTTGTGGAAGGCTGGTTAGAGATAAAGTAGGGTAATCATGCTGAAATGGAAACTGAAATGTATTTGTATTTAATATACATTTATTTTTCTGGACAGCTAGCTAAACCTTGGAAACCCTAATTCAAACTTAATCTGCAAAAAATATGGAGGAGTTTCCATGGTTTGAATTGGTCTCTGCCAGCTGGCATTGCTATCGAGTTTTAACGCTTAGGATTTTAGAACTACAAACAAACTGTTCAGCCGCAATGTCTGCTTAAAAAAAAGAGGCAATAAGGAGCACAGGCTAAGTGTATAGCCTATCATAAGACCATTCCCAAACTACAGCTGAAGTTAATGTTGGATGAACAGCTGAAAATTGTGTTGAAGTCAATGAGAGTTTTAAAGCTTATGGGAATTGGTAATAAGATGTGGCTTCATATTCCTGCCAGTCATTCAATAAGAAAGTGTTGTAAATAATTTGTACCTGCCATAGTTCGTTTAACTTACTGTAGAGCAGTACCTGAATTATTTTGTTAACCTCGTTTGGAAATAAAAAAGGCTCAGCGCAGCATCTCCCACAACTTTATTCACACAAATAGTCTTTTTACTGGGGTCATTCAGATGAATGAGGATTGCGTGGCCTGGCCCCAATTTCTTCATGGAACATGAGCACTCCTCAGTCAGAGAAAATGTCTTTTGTGTGACCAACTGTCTGCAGAGAAACATCTTTTCTTTGGGAAATGGTTACAGGTTTTTTTCTGAACTGCTTGTTCTTTTGCTCTTTTATAGTAAGCCAATGCATGGTGTGTATGAGGGGAGGGAGGTCTTAAAAAACCTGAAAAATACAGGGTTTTTTACCCTCTGATTTGTGGATGTTGTGAGTTGAACCGGGTGAATATTACAGTTTTTAATAATGGAAAAAGCAACTGCATCAGCTTTCAAAGACATGGGTTTTATTGGTTTTGTTGACACTAATTATAACAACATGTCGAGTATTTACCATAGACCTTAGAGATTAAAAAAAAAACAAACCAGTAACTCCTGTTCTTTGGAGAGTTACCAGCTGGTATATCTCTGTCTTCAAGAACTTATTCTGTATAATCACTTCACAGATTGTGTGGAACAAACACTCCTTAACTGGCTTTTAATTTTTATTTTAGTTATAATAAAGGAAAGAATAGAAGTGGCCTACCTGAAATTACCTTTATTTTTCAAAATGTATTATGTTGTTGTTCTCATTATTTAACACAATATGGAAGGAAAAGAATGTGATATCAATTGGCATCAGGGTGTAAAGAGTAGTGCAGTAGAAATGTGAAGCAAAACCCAAAACAGCCCAGGAAAGGGTATTCATGAAGGTGAGAGATATTAGATTCATGCCTTGGAGGGGAGGACTTTGGCTCCTATCTTGCTAGTTAACACTACATGATGACTTTGTGATTGCTCAGTTCCTAGTTCTCTAATGTGATTAATTCCTGTGTATGTTCTTGAAATTAAATATTCGATTTGTCTAGGATAAAAAGTGAAATGTATCTGTAATCATAAAAATAGGAGATGAAGAATAGTTCCATACTTGTTTTGCGTTTTCCAAGTTCGAGTTTGTCCAAGAATGAAATTCTTAGAGATATAGGAAATGCAAAACTGGTTCTGTGAGCTTGGTTTTGCACCATGGCAGAAAAACAATTAAGAGTGCAATGTTAGCATCTTCTCTCGTTTTCCAGGTCCGTGGGGGAGATGCATGGGAGATGAATGCGGTCCAGGTGGCATCCAGACGCGAGCGGTGTGGTGCGCCCACGTGGAGGGCTGGACGACACTGCCCACGAACTGCAAGCAGCCAGAGCGGCCGGACAACCAGCAGAGCTGTTTTCGGGTCTGTGACTGGCACAAGGAGCTGTATGACTGGCAGATCGGCAGCTGGAACCAGTGCCGGCCTGTCCTCTCCCGAAGCCACGAGAAGCCCCTGGAGTGCCTCAGAGGGGAGGAAGGGATCCAGACGAGGGACATCACCTGTATCCAGAAGTCCAATGGGGTGCCAGCTGAGGATGTCATCTGTGAGTACTTTGAGCCAAAGCCCCGCCAGGAGCAGGCATGCCTCATCCCGTGCCGGCAGGACTGTATTGTGGCCGAATTCGCCCCCTGGTCGGAGTGCTCCAAGACCTGTGGCAACGGGCTTCAGCATCGAACTCGGCACGTTGTGGCTCCACCGCAGTTCGGTGGGTCTGCTTGTCCTAACCTCACCGAGTTTCAGATCTGTCAGTCTAGCCCATGCGCTGCTGAAGAAAGCCTGTATAGCCTAAATGTGGGACCCTGGAGCGCGTGCTCAGTGCCCCATTCGAGACAAATAAGGCAAGCAAGGAAACGAGGGAAGAACAAAGACAAGGAAAAGGACAGAGAAAAGGCAGTTCGGGATCCTGAGGCTCGTGAGTTAATTAAGAAGAAGAGGAATCGAAACAGACAGAATAGACAGGAGAACAAGTATTGGGACATACAAATTGGGTACCAAACCAGGCAGGTCACATGTACTCACAGAAATGGAAAAACTGCTGCTCTGAGGTAATCACTATTTATTAATTTGCACATCTTTATTTTTCTCTGTTTAAAGTAAAGCATGCATAAGTGCACACTGGTATTATTTTACACAATCCTGAATCTCAATATGGGGCACACGCTCATCAAGCTCAAGGTGTTTCTTTGACACGAAACGTGCAAACTGTGCTGGTGATCATACTTAAGCATCACATAAATGTGCACTGTTAAACTGTACTAACTCCCTAGCCTCTGTTTGTCTAAATAGATTTCCCCCAAAAGGTTGAAGATATTTGTCAAATATCTGCTCTGTTTCTGTGGGTGCAGGGAGGTTTTTGCTCTCTAACAAGTCGTGCATGTTTGGAAGAGGTGATGTTATTACTTTTAAGGCTCTGGGCACAAAGACTAGCAAAAGACTGGGCTGGGTCTGACTCACAATTGTAGCAGAAAACAGAGAGAAAGATGCTGCATGAGAAGGCAGTATCTAGTCTTTCCAGTACCTTTTGTTTTGAGATAGAAGAGCATGAAATATTGTTTGTCCTTCTTGATTCCTATGGCAAAATTCCTGAAAGGGAGACTGTGAAACTTCTTTGATTCTTCCATGTATTTCCTCTTTTTTCTTTCTCATCTGCACCTTTATGCTGGCTGTCTGGTTTTTTTTTCTGATATTTTTATTTATGTATTTATTATTTTACTTTACAAGAGTTTTGGCAGTCACAGATGTTTTGATAACTCTTTCCATAGGCTTCTGGGTACTTTTCTGTAACCATATTATCTTCCACCTGTTTGTTTTACCTGGCGTTCTCTTGCTAGCTCATGTTTTTTCCTTCCCATCCCCCAGAATGTTTTTGTCCAACTCAAAAATCTTCTTTCAGTCTAGTCTACCTTTTTCTGTCTTTGATGTGATTCTTTCTATTTCCTTCCCTCTAGTTCAATGCATGATTAATCAATTTTACTTCAACTGTGAAATGACTAAGATATCTTGCTGAATGAGGCTGACACCCATTGCTGCTAGGTTAGTGTTTATGAACTTTTTTCAGGGTATTTTACTTTGGAGTTTTTGTTGTGCCAGTTAAACATTCTATCATGGAACTTGTAATTGCTTCAACCTTTCAGAAACAATGTATTGTAGTTTTTCCAGTGTAGTAAACATTTTTTGAGTGTATTTCCTTTCAAGAGAGGATCCAGCAGTGAAATAGGAAAATGATGAGAGGTCCCTGGCTTAAGGGAAGAACTGAAAGATTTGGGTTGTTTAGCTGGAAGGAGGGACATACGAGTGAAAATGTCAAGTGTGTATGTAAAAACCCATCACAAGGAAGAATGGAACGAGCTATTCTCTATATATTATGGATGTATAGGAAAAGCAATAATGGGCTAATCACAGCTGTGCTGAATGAGGTTAGACTTCTCAATACTGGAAATAGTGAAGTTCTGGAAAAGATTGCCTGGGGAATGTGTGGCACCTCCATCTTCAAAGGTTTATGAGAACAGGCTAGAAATGCATGTGTCAGTAATGACACACCTCCAGTAACCCTTGGTTAGGGAAGAGGGGCTGACTGCATAGTTTTTTGCAGTCTATTCTAGCTCTGGTTTTCTACAGTTCTTCAGATTTTGACCCACGCTCGGATGAATGTCTGCACAAGGAATCTCAAAATCAGCTTGATCAGGCAGTCCCAGGTGTTGGCTGCAGCACTGGCTCAGTGCCGGTACAGGAAGAGGTTGCCTTTACCCCTTCCTTTTCCAGCCTCCCATCATGCAGCCCACACTGTGCCTAGCCTAGGAACATCATTACCCTTTAAATACAGGGAATAATTTATCAAGCGTATCAGTTGCTATCAGATAGCAGCCAGCTGCTCTGTTTGAAAGTCCCCAGGTTTTTGTAAAGTTAAACAAATAATTCAGAACTACCATATTTAAAAAAAAGGGGGGGGTGGGCATTCATGTGCTGAGGCTCTGATAAATGGTAAGAGAAAGTAAAACTATAATTGGAAGTCAATGGCATACTTTACTCATCATCTTTACACTCACTCTTGAATTCACTCAGATCAGTAACGCTGTCTTAATTTCCGATACCTCAGCGTATTATACCATACATGCACATTTTAAGCTGTAGCAGGGAAATGGATGAAACCCTCTTGCCTAAGGCAGTGAAACAATAGATAATACAACATAGGAGCAAATCTTCACAGGAGAGAAAATTATACAAACGATGCAGTGGACTTTTTGATGTCTAATGGATAAAATTTTATGTTGTAAATCACAAAGGATTTCCGATAGTCTTCCCATCAAGTTTAACATAGAATCTTTTTTCCAGTTGCATAGTGAAAACAAGAACATTTGGTTAAATGACTCGTGAGAAATTCCAGCACTGATACCTTGGCTTTAGAGACCTATCTGTGTGTGTCATCTATATATCCATTTGTTTCATTTATACTGCATTCTTCACTAAGTGGTCAAATGCTTTATTCTATGATTGGCATTCCAGAATCTCAAGCAATAGAATTATTTTTCTGCCCAGGCTGTCAATGCAGCCAGCTCAAATGATTTTATAATCTCCATCACATAGTAACTGTGTTACTAAATAATATAGACAAGTAAGGTGACTGGAAAACCTGCTGTGCCCATATGAAATGCTCTCCAGCTTGAACAGTCCATTTTCAGGGAGTTTTGACTTTAGCAATCAGAAACAATCAGCCCCCTGGCAGCATGACTGAAAGAAGAAGAAAAACCCTCAGGCGAGTAATATTTTTTGCAGAGGTAGCAATATTGGTATAGTATAAAAAGGGTTTCAAAAAACAAGTTTCAGAAGGGTGCTCCAGAGAAAATGGTTCTGTAACGCTGTCAGCAAAACTTCAAAAAGGCGAATTCTCTCAACACATCAGCAAGCCAGGCATGGTAAAGAGAAGTGAAACAAGAAAATCAAAGTGTAATTTACACACTTTATTGCTGAGTGAACAATACATAGTCTCCCGTGAAGGATGAAATATTGGATTTTGTATTGCTCATTCGGCAATAATGTATGTGTTACATGGCCTCTATTTGCTTTATGTTTCCCTTAGTCTGAAATTCCAGTGCACTGAAAATATCTTGAAAACAGAGTTGTTGGAGAAGAATTCAGTAATTAAAGCTGATGTATAAAATGACTGTTCCAGATAGCTAACAAAACCTGGACAGTGTTGCTGTTAGCGTAGAGGACAATACTGATCCTCTGAAATGTTTCCTCTTTTTCCTTTTTTTTTTTTTTTGGTGAAAGTGGAGTTTGCCAGACGTCCCGCAGAGAGCTGTTAGACAACAAACTGTCAATGTAGAGAAACATAAAACGTGTGTAAAAGTTCATTTTGAATTACAAATCTGTTTGCACTATTACAAGTTGTGATGATTATGCCTCATTAAGCCTATCATTTTCTATTGTAATATATACTCTGGTTTTGCTTTCTTCTACTCTGCCAAATTGTTACCATTGGGTCTCAAACACTTCCTCATAATTGTCTTCCCGAGCAGACTTTTGGGGGGAAAGTTTAGCTGTTTTGGCTGTTTTTGTACAAGTCTAAGAAAAATATTTTTTTTAGCAGTGTTTAATTCATACAACCATTTTACTGAGATGCTTTATTGAGAACCCACTGGGCTGGGGAACGAATTTGATATTTGGAAGGACTGGAGCAGGTTATGAGCACAGACATTTATAACTGTAAGAACATGGAACGGAACGCGAGTATCTTCTTGGCCTGTATGTTTCTGCACTTCAGCAAAGATTTTTAAATTCACTGACAAAGCATATCAAGTCCCCCTGTAGCAGTTGGTCCACAGGCGTGGGGACAGCCTGCAACTGCTAAGGATCATTGAGCTCAAATGGCTGCACTTGGGGCTGTAGTTAAAGCAGTTCTGCAAGGATATAACGACTATTTAAAAAAAAAAAAATCCCAGGAATTTCTGCACTATTTCCTTTCTCTTTCTCCATCCCATCTCCATATCCACTTGGATATGGATTGTTTATCTTGCTTAAGCTGGGACCAAAACACCCCTGTCTGAATTGGGGGAGAAATGGGGGAGACCAAGTAGGAAACTGTCCCCACCAGCTCTTTTGCTGCAGTCCCCAGAACTGGATAATATTCCCCTGGCAGCGCCTCTGTCGCAGAGACCTGTTTGTGAAGCCGAACATTATTGATGACTTGAAGTGAGAATTCAAGAAACAGTAAAATTTTATATATATTCAGGGCTTTTATTTCTTTGGGAAATAACTTTATGCAATAACAGCGGTGGAACATAATGGTGGGAAAGAAAAGCATCCAAAATTTAAGAAATGCTGACCAGTTTCTGGGCAGATGGTTTAGCCCTTTTATGCATTTGATCATATGATCATGTTTCATTTATTTCACCTCCGTCCTTCTCAAAGTAATTGTTTGTTATTTATTTTCATCCTCCTCACTGATTCTGTGCATTCATGCAATATCTAATAAACTATATCCACACCTTCTAATGAATTAAACTCTCTTGGAAGATTCCATAATGGTCTCATTGCAGCGCTTTACTAACTTTCAAGTTTGGGAGAGTTCGAGCTTTATTAATTCCAATTTTATAGTTGAGACATGAGAGATGACTGTAGGGGCTGAAATTATTGAATTGTCTTGCTAATTTTGGACATCCAGTTTGAGGTATATAATACCTGATTTTTCAGCTTACTTCACATAGACCTGTATCTGCTTAAAGCACAGCCACTGTATTCACTAGTGGCCACAAGTCTTGAGCTCTATACCCAGGGCCTGAGGAATTAGAGAATGGCTAACTGAGTATTTAGGCTGGTGAGCAAGTGATACTCAGGATGTTATTGGCAGAAAAAAGAAGGAGACTCTGCTCCTCTAGGATGGCATTTTAGCTTTGTTTATCTTTCAAGGTCCTGAAACCTCCTAATCCAAGTGCTCACCTTCCAAATCATGCAACAAATGCCTCCATCCGCTTTATGGACTCTCACTCTCCTTTTAAGTTATAGGCTGTGTGGAGGAGGATAAAAATACAGCATAAGCCTGTTG